AAAAAAAAACCTGGAAATGTCAAAAAAGTGACCCTCGTTGTAAATATAGTACAAGTAATATTTTTTCATCTCAAACATGGTACAAGTAGTGTCCTTGCAATAATTTTTACAAAATTCTCAAATTTTCACTTTAAAATATCATGCATTCTTGATAATTCAGAATGTGATAAAAATACAACAATTATAGGACATCAAAGCCTCATCATGTTTGGAATTCCCAATCTAGAGTTTTTGCTAGAGGGTAAATACACTGACAGTTTAAAAAAAAAATTAAGAGAATCACCTTAACATTTTAGCACATCGCAGCTGACTTGTAGCCATACAAACTATTTTCCCAAAAGTTATAGCAATCACAGAAACCTAGAAGTTCTTTAATAACAGGCATCTTAGAAYACTTAGAGTATTACTCAACTTTGATTGTCTTTTTGAAAAACTTCAATAAGTTATACTATCAGAAGTCAAAAATTGTATTCTAATTTTCTCTTCCTCACAAGTTCAGAATATTTTTAAAAAGGAAATGAAATTAAAACTAAATAGGAATGYGTGCTCAAGGCAATGTAAGTATATTTTTATATTTACATACATTTWAAAAAATACTTCCTCTGTGACCATCTTCAATTCGCAGAAATGAAGCTCTTTACAAAGGAAATAAGTTTTCCTCTCCAAACACTGAAATGTAAAATACGCAGATAAGGAAGGACACTTAGATTGAAAAAAAATAAAAACCAGGAGCGAGAAGCTAGTCTCAGAAGAAATGGAATGAAAGATTACAAGAGGTATGACAAATTGTAACAAAGAGAAAGAGAAGGGCATATAGGTTTGGATATGTAAATAAACCCAAGAAATTTGAAGTTGATGACATTTCCACTAGACGCTACATGTACTTATTAAGAGAAAGCAGAGAAAAGAAAATATGCCTTTAGAGTAGACAACCCCTATAGAAAGGAGATTGTAAGTAATGTGTTCAATCATAAACTTACTTATTTTTCAAAATAGTTATTTTACGTGCTATAGATTTGAATAAAACACAAATCATTTTAAATTGCTACCATTTTTATTGTTTGTTTTCCAAACTGCATCCTCAGTCTGGGTTTCCCTTTTTTTTTTTTTATCAGATTCACAAATTTCTTTCAGATGACTAGGACCTGTCTACAACTCAAGAGTAGTCTTTTAATTCTATATTAATGGTATGTTTTATTTCAATACTGGGAACCTGTTCCTCTTTGACAATAGACAAATCTTCAGGAACAGGAACACTTTCTTCAAATGTTTTATTGTCTTCTAAAACAGCTGACTCTGAGACACCTGCTATCTAGGGAGACTGAAGTTCAGGAAGCACGTTCTCTAGTTCACATCCCCATTTGCAGGAGTTGGTTCAGACGATGGAGGTGGAACTTCAGCAATCATCTCYTGTCCAGGAAACTCTTCAGTAGGAACCACATCCGTTACTGAAAGATGTTGGTCACCGGGGTCATCTTCCGCAGGGACTTGCTCAGCTAATAAAGGCTGAATTCGAAGCTGGATTTCTTCTGGAAAGAACTCCTCAACTGGTGGACTGTGAAACTGAAGCATGGCCTCTTCAGCTAGTAGAGACTGAACTTGAGCCAGGACCTCWTCTGGAAAGGCCTCCCCATCTGACGGAGACTGAATATCAGTCTGGGCCTCTTTTGAAACGGTCTCCTTAGCTGGTGGAGACTGATCTAGAGACAAGTCTTCTTTGAGAGGGGACTCCTCAGCTGGTGGAGGCTGAGCTTCAGCAGGAGCCTCTTCTATAGGACACTCCTCAAATGATGGAGACTGAATTTCCACAGGAGCTTCTTCATTTGGTGGGGGCTGAACTGCAGCCGGGAACTCTTCTACCAAGCCTCCCTCATCAGTGAGAGGCTGAACTTTGGGAGAGTGCTTTTCTACAGGAGACTTCTTAGCTGTTCGAGAATGAGCTTTAGCAGAGGGCTTTTGTTTCGGGGCTTCCTTACTTGTTGCAAGTTCAGGTTCTAGGATCGCTTCTGTAGGAGCCTCTACAACTGATGGAGGCTGAACTGGAGCAGGAGCCTGTTCTGCAGACTGTACTTCAGCTGGAGCTTCACCAAACTCATCTTCAGGTACTGTAGGTTGAACTTCAGCAGGAGTCTCTTCTACCAGTGGAAACTGAATTTCAGTAGGAAGCTCTTCGGAAGGATCTRCTCCAGCTAGTGAGGACTCTCCTGGACCCAAATGATCTTCTGAAAGAGCCTCTTGCACCAGTGGAGGCTGAATTTTAGCCAGAGACTCTAGAGAAGGAGATCCTTCATCTAGAGAAGGGGACACTGCAATCTCTGTAGTTGAAGTCATTTTATCAGATACAAGGGTCTTTTCAACTGTAGGTTGTACTTCAGTAGGGGTCTCTCCAGCAAGCCTGGGCTCTACTTCAGCTAGGGCCCCTTCAGCAGGAAATTCTTCTGTTGGTAGATACTCTGTTTCAACAGCAGCATCTTTTTTAACAACTGAACCCTCTTTCCTAGACTCATCTGCTAAAAATAATGGAGTATCTTTTGGGGTTTCCTGAGTGAATGAATCTCTGTTGATATTTTTCTGCCTTTTTTTCCCATGGCTACTTATTGCTGGTTGAAATTCAGGACTGTCACTAACAAAAATCTTTTTTAAGGATTTATATATGTGGATACTTTCCTTTGAATTTGTAAAAGAGCTACCTGCCTCGGAAATAATCAGTATTTTTGATTCAGCAAAGTACGTCTGCTGTTCTTTGTCCACTTTTTCTACCTGGGGCAAGCTCATCACAGACAGGTCCCCAGTATAAATGGTCTGCTGAGATCGGTCTATTTTAAATTGAATTGAGTATTGGCTTGGTATAATTTCTACTCCCTGGACACCCTCAGGCAATTCAGGACCTGCTTTTCCAACACCAGCTGGCTTCTTTTTAGGCCCCACTGGTCTATCAGATGACTTGACTTTTTTCTTTTCCACAGAGGTTTCTGTCTGGAGAGATTCATCAGTCATTTTCTGYCCATGCTTTTTCTTTGCCCAAGTTTGCTGAAGTTGAGAAGATACTCGAAAAYGCTCATATTCTTTGGCAGAGTAGCGGCCATTGCTTCCAGGAATATTACCAATACTAAAGATAGCCTTGGGGACAGTCGAYTGGGATACAGCCTGGTGTTTCTTTTTCTCTGTCCCTTCAGTCTGCTGGGATTTGTCTACCATTGGTTGGACGGTTCGCCTTCTCTTTCGAATTTCTTGCCTCCCGACTGAGATAGACTGATGAGGCACATCATTTTCTTCCATTTATAAGATGACGAATTCAGATTTATTAATCAAGTAATTAATCATTAAGCATCACAAATGTGCCAGCTGTAAATCTTTGCCTTCCTTCATTAAGAGTTGTTCTACTGAGTTGCTTATAAAAAAAAGCAATTCCTAAACCATTACATTCTATACTACATTCTTGTTGGATCCCACCTTGTTCAGTTATTATCTTTCTTGTTTAGTCTCTGTTAGAACGAAATCTCATTTTTAGAAGTTCCTCTCAAGGGTCTGTGACATCACAGCACTTCTCCCTGCAAGGTTCCGGCAGTTCTGGTCCCAGCACTTTTTCACTGGGGCACAAATTCATCATCAATGACTGCAAGTGTGACATCTTATTACTTTGTGAAATAAATCAAGTTGAAAGAAGCATTTGTCTATCAAAGGAACATTAAGTAAGCTCCAGTAATACCACTTTCTAACTGTTGATTTTTTGAACTTTCCATTCAATCCTTTCCATCCTACTATCAAAGATGGTTATGATACAGAACTCAGAATGCTGCAGCACATTTGTAATTGTTGGAGAAAACAACTGATAATATATGTGAGAGTGTTCTATGAATATCTGTTTATATGACTTTAAAAGAAGTCAGTTCTGGGCTGGGGATGTGGCTCAAGCAGTAGCGCACTCACCTGGCWTGTGCAGGGCGCTGGGTTCGATCCTCAACACTACATAAAAATAAAATAAAGATATTGTGTCCACCTAAAACTATATATATAAAGAAGTCAGTACTGTTTGAAAAACTAGGATTCTTAAATCCATCTTTACATAGGCTCCTTTCCTGTATCCATGACTTCAGTGATCACAGTAGCATCCTACCCAAATATAAGCAATGCTGTCCTTCTCAAACAGCTTCAGATATTTTTATTTCTGAATTATTTCAGAAAGTGGATCCACTCGAATTTTTTTTTCAAATAAATGTTGTGTCTAAATATATGCCAGGTTAAATAAAATGCATTATTCGAGACAGTCTCTATAACTCTGCTGAATAACCACATAGGAATAAATGCCCCGGTAAAGATGAAAAGTTTAAATTGAGTCTTTGAAAAAGTTAAGTAGGTTGTTGCTGCCATTGTATTAGATTTGAAATTTCTAACATAATAGATTTGAAAATTTAACTCTTATATCTCAAGAATTTTACTAGAAAGATGTAAATTGGTCACAAAAAAATATTTTAAAATATTGTTAGTCCAGGGAAAATAAAAGAAAAAAAGTGGACTTTAAAAATATAATCACAGACGTTAAAAATAAAACATCTGCCTGGGCACAGTGGCACACGCCTGTAATCCCAGAGACTCTGGAGGCTGAGACAAGAGAATCATGAGTTCAAAGTTAGCCTCAGCAACGGCAAGCTGCTAAGCAACTCAGTGGAACCCTGTCCCTAAATTTTAAAAATACAAAATAGGGCTAGGGACATGGCTCAGTGCCCCTAAGTTCAATTCTCAGTATCCCCCCCAAAAAAATCTGCTAAATAATAATTATGACTTCATTAATCTGGGAATATTTTAAAATTTCTTATGCTGTATTGCTTCCTGCAAAAAACATAAAATTGAATCAAATAATCCTGTTTCATGCATTAGTGTTAGGAACTGAATATTTGTATCCCCCTACCATTCATGCCATTCATGTGTTTAAGTAAAATGCCCAAGTTATGGAATTAGGGAGTGGGACTTTATAGATGATAACCATCTGCATTTGCATCTGCAAAGGAAGTGGACCTTTAACAAACAGATCTGTTAGCACCTTGATATGGACTACCCAGTCTCCAGAACTTTGAAAATTTAATTGTTGCTTATACTACCTAGACTCTTATGTATTTGTTAGCAGTTTAAACTAAGATTATTGATTTTAGCCAAACAAATGGGTGCTTTTCACATTCTTTTATCCCAGCCTCTAAAACAGTCCCGACTTTTGCATTGATCAGTGAATTCTTGTTAAGTACAACTGGAGAAAATGTGATTTAGAAAACATACTGCTTGTTTTGCATCTCACCTGCTCTTTTCATTTTTGTCTGTTTTGCTCCACAGTCTCCTATATTCCTAAGACTTAATGAAGTAAAGCAATAGTCATTTCAAGGAAGCATTGGCATAGGTTTTAATCAGATCTGCTATCATTTGGAAACTGGATTATCAGCTTCTTTGTGTCTGGTGTCTCAATTATACATTTCAAACATTACATGTGTGTTTTGTAATCAGGTTTCTGACATTTGATGTAATATCTTCAAAGTCTATTTTGGATCTTTTGGTAATAAGAAATAAGTTTCAACATTGCATTAATTGAGTTAATGTAACATCACATGAATTTAATTAATTTTGCTTCCTCAACATAAATAAGATTTTATGCAATTTCCTTAAACATAAACTGAATTGTCAATTTCAGTTAAACTAAATTAAATCCTCAATTTCCAATCCTTAGATATTTATATTTTTTCTTCCAAAAAAATAATTAAGAACTTTGGTGATTACCAAAGCTTGGCAAGCGTGTAGGGAAGGAAGGGTTCAAAAGAAAATGGTTGATGGGTATATCTGTGTAGTTGGGGTAGTTCATGTGTCTCTAGAAATCTGTTGATGTCTTCAAGATTTTCTATTTTATTAGAATATAAATTTTCAAAATAATTTCTAATTATCTTCTGTACTTCAGTAGTGTCTGTTCTGATATTTGTTTTTTTATCACATATTTTAGTAATTTAAGTTTTCTTTTTCTCTTCATTAGCATGGCTAGGGGTTTATCAATTTTACTTATTTTTTTCAAAGAACAAACTTTTGATTTGTCATTTTTTTGAATTGTTTCTTTTGTTTCAATTTCATTTATTTCAGATCTGATTTTAATTCTTTTCTTTTTTCTGCTGCTTTTGGTATTGATTTATTCCTCTGTTTCTAGGGATTTGAGATGTGATGCCATAAATCTATATTGAGAAGATCCAAAAATTCCACCAAAAAACCTGTAGGATTAATAAATTAATTCAGCAAAGAAGCAGGATATAAAATCAACACCCATAAATCAAACATGCTCCTATACATCAGTGATGAATTTACTGAAGGAGAAATTAGTAAAACTACCCCATTATCAAAAAAAWTAAGAAACTGGAAATCAATATTTAAAAAAGAGTGAAAGAGCTCTACAATGAAACATAGAACACTAAAGAAATTGAAGATCACCTTAGAAGATGGAAAGATCTCTCATGCTCCTGTATAGGCAGAATTAATATTGTCAAAATGGCCATACTACCAAATGTGTTACACAGACTTAATGCAATTCCTATTAAAATCCCAATGACATTCTTCATAGAAATAGAAAAATCAATCAAGAAATTCATTTGTAAAACTAGGAGGCCCAGAATAGCCAAAGAAATCTTTAGCAAGAAGAGGGAAGCAGGAGGCATCACAACACTGGACCTTAAACAACACTATAAAACCACAGTAACAAAAATAGCATGGTATGGGCACCAAGACAGACACATAGACCAATGGTACAGAACAGAAGACACAGAAACAAACCCACATAAATATAGTTATCTCATACTAGACAAAGGTGCCAAAACATTCACTGGAGAAAAGACAGCCTATTTAACACATTGGAGATCCACATGTAACAAAACAAAATTAAGCGCCTATCTCTCACCCTGCACAAAACTCACCTCAAAGTAGATCAAAGACTTAGGCACTAGACCAGAGACCCTGCATCTGATAGAAGAAAAGGTAGGCCCCATCCACCATGTTGGCTTAGAAACTGACTTCTTTAATCACACTCCTAAAGCTCAAGAAGTAAAATCAAGAGTCAATAAATGGGATGGATTCAAACTAAAACACTTCTTCACAGCAAAGGAAACAATCAATAACATGAAGAGAGAGCCCAGAGATTGGGAGAAAATTTTTATCACTTGTACCTCAGATAGAGCATTAATCTCTAGGATATATAAAGAACTCAAAAAAACTTAACACACACACACACAAAAGACAAATCACCCAATCAATAAATGGGCAAAGGAACTGAACAGACACCTCACAGAAGAAGAAATACAATTGATTAACAAATATATAAAAAAAAATTCAACATCTTAAGCAATTAGAGAAATGCAAATCAAAACCACTCTAAGAGTTCATCTCACGCCAGTCAGAATGACAATTATCAAGAATACAAGCAACAATAAATGTTAGTGAGGATGTGGAGAAAAAGGTAACCTTATACATTGCTGGTGAGATGGCAAATTGGTGCAAACATCATGGAAAGAAATATGGAGATTCCATAGAAAACTTGGAATGGAACCACCATTTGACCCAACTATCCCACTCCCCAATTTATTCCCAAAGTACTTAAAATCACCAACTATAGTGACACAGCCACATTAATATTTATAGAAGCTCAACTCATAATAGCTAAACTATGGAACCAAACTAGATGCTCTTCAACAGATGAATGGATAAAGAAACTGTGGTATATATACAAAATGGAATATTACTCAGCCTTAAAGAAGAATAAAATTATGGCAAAATAAGAATCCCAAAAAACCAAAGGCCAAATGTTTTCTCTGATATGTGGATGATAATTCACAAGGAGGCACTAGGGAAGAATAGAGTTACTTTGGATTAAGTAAGGGGAGTGAAGGTGTATGGGTGTAGGAAGGATAGTAGAATGAATAAGACATATTACCCTATGTACGTATATGACTACACAACCAGTGTGTTTCTACAAATCATGTAGAACCAAAAGAATGAGAACTTATACTCCATTTATGTATGATGTGTCAAAGTGCATTCTGTTAAGTATAACTAATTAAAGCAATTTAAAAAAAAATTAAAAAATATAAAAGGAGACACATTGGGAAACAAATTCCACATTCTAGGATCTGTAAGAAACCAGCTATAGCTGAGGAAAGACCAAGTGAGGGGAGAATGAGCCTAGTTTCAGAGGGAGCTTTGCTCCAAATTCTAAAACTGATCTTATCATGAACACACAAGAAAGTTTACTCTTCACTTGGGTA